GTGTGTGAGTGAGAGTGAGAGTGTGTGTGTGTGTGTGTGTGTGTGAGAGAGAGTTAGAGTGTGTGTGTGTGAGAGAGTGAGAGTGTTACCTGAGCAGCGGTACCGTTCCCTCGTGACTCTGCAGTAAACTGTGGACATGAGCAGCCAGAACTTTCAGAGACACCAGAACAAACGGGATCATGTAAGAATCCGGATCAAAATCAGATTCACTGAAACCAGAAGAGAAACATCATAAGCTCAGACCTTCATCTCCAGCTTTTACTGAAACTAAACAGAAAAAAATTACTCATTCCAAAATGTGCAACTTGAATATACGCGTGCCCAGATTGACCTGAAGTCCTGCTGAGTGCAGTGTCGTCTGCAGACGGGCTCGTGGTACTCCAGCTCCTCGAACAGAACCGGACTGGCGGTGTTGGAGCTGTCGTGAGAGTGTGCCGATCCTAGCGGGCTCTGCCGGGCCTGAGTGCTGGACAGCAGACACACAAGCCGCCCGCCGCCCTGCTCGCGCACACACACCACCTCCGGCAGCCGGTACAGATCACTGACCACCAGATTACGACCGAACCTGTAGCACACACAGCGGTCAGGAGTCGAGTCAAACACATGGGAGCGTGCAAGCATCTGAGCGAGTCACTCACTTCCTCTCATACGTCTCTGTGAACTTGTAGAGAGGCAGGCAGTTGGCCGGAGCGTCCTGCAGGATGCTGATGATCTCAGAGCTGAGGAACAAACACAGTCACATCTACAACAGGAAGAGACCGATCACAGAAGACAGGAAGGAGAAGCAGAGCGTGTGTGTGATACCTGAGGCAGGTGAGAGATTTGTTACTGGCTCCGGTGACGAGAGACACGTGAATCCTCTTGCTGCCGATTTTATAGCGATGCAGCAGACTGACGGCACCAATGGCCTGCTGGAGCGAACTCATGTGCACCCGCGCCTTCAGCTGATAGTCAGTGTGAGGACTCAGATCCACACTCTTCACCTGCACACACACACACACACACACACACACACACACACAGTAATGAAGCTCTCTTTCAATGAGCTCAGGTTTTGAATTTTTGAAATGCGACTCACTCTGCCATGTTTAGCAAACACGTCTCGCAGTATTTGCTGCAGGTCCTTGCGTGACATCCTGTAGTCCAGATTAGTGACCTGAACGTCCACTCCGTCAGAGAAGGGCTCGTCTGCGCAGATGCTGGGGGACGGAGCGCTCAGAGGAGATGAGCGGTTCGACAGGCAGGGGGACGCACTCCTGAAGAGAGCAGAGACCGACCCACACGTGACGAGAATGCAAGAGAGATTTATAAAGCGTTTGACGATCATGCGATTTACTTACCGTGATGACCATGAGCTCTGAGAGAGCATCATGGGACTGAAGTTCCGCTGCAAACTTAGTTTACTGAACGCTGAAGGAGTGCTGACCTGAAACGGCTGGCCAGGAGAGTCATGCCTTCACACACACACAAAAAAAAAAGTCAGCATCCAATTACAAACTCTTCACAATCTCAGAGCTCATATAATAACAGTGCTGTCAAAGTTATTAGTGCGTTAACACAGGTGATTCATTTTTTCAGTTTAACGCGCTAAATATTTAACGCAGGGACGGAGCTAGGGTTGGCCACCCCACTCACTGCTGCTTCTCTTTATTTCTTGAGAAGTACTGCATTTAGAAGCAGAACATCTTTACAACCACATCAAATGGGAGACTTTCAGACGCGCATTTGACGAGGAGCTTCAGTAGAACAACAGTGAACTGCGCTCAGATGAGATGTCGCCAGGCCATATGTCAGTAGAAACCATTTTTTCTGTCCTGTCAGCCGTTATACTGTGCTCGTTCAATTGCATGCACAAATGCAGCATGCGCTGTAGCCTGTATCATTTCATATTAAAGCGCAAATGAAACGACGAGTATGCAATGTCACAGTTATGTCATCAGTTTAGTCAAAGTCACCAAAAAGGTGATTAAAGCTGCCTTAAAACTGTGCATGTATGTTAGTATTTGTTACACTAGTCACATTTAAGAACATGTCTCTGAAATGCAGTGGTTTTCAAAACTGTCCTGGAGCAGCCCAGCACTGTCTCCCTCATCTAACACACCCGATTCAACGCAACAGCTCATTATAGAGACTTTAAAGGTGCACTAAAGGTAGCCAAGTCCCAAACACTCACAGCCAATCAGCAGTAAGGGGCGTGTCTAGTAATGATCAGGAGAAGAGAGTGCTCGCACTCACCGAGCACTCTTCTCCCAATCATTACTAGACAGGACGGATATTAGCAGATCGTCTATAGAGAGCGAGAGATGGCAGACAAAAAAAAAAATTATAAAATTAAGAGGAAAACATTAAAAAGAAGGGTTACGATCAGGCAAGAGGTGGGACCCAAGTAAATATTGGAGCAGCTTTCCAGCGGTGGAGAAACTCAAGGAGCGGAAGGGAATCGGATGCAGAGGTTGCTTTGTTTCTTCTTGATAGGTGAATTACGTTGATTTTTTGTTTCACACAACTAATCTGTGGTGGCTTTTGCTTGAATATGCTGTGGCTGCAAGCATAGCAGACTCCGCCCTCGTCGCTGCCAGGGTTGAGTATGTACGTGTGGGGTGGAGTTATCAAGATAGGGGTGAGGTCCTGTTGGGGTATGTGCGTGTTTGTTTTGGTGCTTTCAAATATCAACAATGTTTGGCAAAAACGCTTAGTGCACCTTTAAGAGCTGCAATGAGTCAGAAAAGGTAAAGAGTTATGAGAAACTATGATGCGTGTCAGTCTACAAAAACGGCTGGTAGGGACCACAACGAGTTACTTCCTGGGTTTGTGACATCACAAACCCAGATAAACCCCGCCCCCGGGAAAAGGCAGCAAAGGGGGCGGGGCCATGCTGCCCTGCTTTAGAGAAGAGCAGGATAAAACCGTATATTAAAAGCTAACAGAAGCAGTAGCACTCACAAGTAACAGCGTATCTAAAAGTACGAGACAAAAACAAACAAAAAACATAGGCCTACCATTAAATCCATGCTTGCACAGGTTCTGCACGATCCTCTTCAATAATATCCTCTGCTTCTCAATCGGGATCAAACTGATAAGCGATATTAACGACGCCTTTGTTTACAATACAACCAGAGCACATGCCGCTGAGGTGAGGGGCGGGACGATTAGATGCGCACTAGAGGTGGTGTGGAATAAAGGTAAATTATGTGAAAAATTAAGCATTAACATGTTAGACTGCACCCCATAAACACAATCCAGCCTAGAAAAAAAATAAATAAATAGTCAACCACCCCTTTAAAGCAGCCAAAAATCACCTCATAACCAGCTGCTGTGATGTCTGTTCATCAAAGAACAAAAGACAAAGGGCAAATCAATCACTTTTTGTAGATTTGAGGATTAATGTTTATTTAATTTAGAATTTGATAACTTTATTCAATTTCTGTATATTTCCTACATGCTGAAGGGCACAGGTAGCTAAATATGACATTTATTATAATGGGTTTATGTGAAGATTGTTTTAAGTTCACTTAAATTAGAAATTGTTTTTTAAAGTCTAATAAATGCTTAAATTTATAGCTCTCAATTATACTTTAATGTTGAATGGATATCGTCAATGGTTAAATATTAGGGGGGAAAACTATTTCCTAGAGACATCAGTAGTATTGGTATCAGTGATACTCACCTTCAGTCATAAAAAAAGATGCCATTAAACAAATATTAAAAATATACTGTCTTTATGTTGTTTCTACATTAATCTGAAAATTGAATGTGAAATTACTACAACATAAAACTTTAACGTTAGGTGGGATTAATCGTGATTAAAAAAAAAAAAAAAAAAAAAGGGGGGTTATTTTGTTACTTTTTTTTTATCGATTGACACCAAGTAATAATAATAATAATAATAACAGTAATACTCTTATGTAGTTCCTTTTAGGATCTCAAGATTGCTTTGCAAATAAATAAAATCAAAACCCTCGACAGCAGTGCTAACACACACTAACTGCTGAATCAAAGTTTGGATGAACTGTAGCTGCAAAAACAAAAACATTAAAACACACAAAAAACAAATTAAAAACAAGATATTCATAATGCTGCTTATTATTATATCAGAAGCACAATCATGGGAACACATGGACACTACCTGTGATGTGTGTGTGTGTATTAAAAAAAAAAAAGTGTGATTAATTTGTTACTTTTTTTTTATCGATTGACACCAAGTAATAATAATAATAATAATAACAGTAATACTCTTATGTAGTTCCTTTTAGGATCTCAAGATTGCTTTGCAAATAAATAAAATCAAAACCCTCGACAGCAGTGCTAACACACACTAACTGCTGAATCAAAGTTTGGATGAACTGTAGCTGCAAAAACAAAAACATTAAAACACACAAAAAACAAATTAAAAACAAGATATTCATAATGCTGCTTATTATTATATCAGAAGCACAATCATGGGAACACATGGACACTACCTGTGATGTGTGTGTGTGTGTGCGCGCGCGTGTACACACGTGTGTGTGCGTGTGTGTACACGTGTGTGTGCGCACGTCTGTGTGTGTGAGTGAGTGTGTGTGTACGTGTGAGTGTGTGTACACGTGTGTACGTCTGTACATAGGGCTGGGCAATAAAACGATAATTATCGAGATATAATTTTACTCAGTAAAACGATAACAAGAGTTCAATAAATGTTTGATATAATGTTTACGCTCCAAAAGTGAAATGAAACTCATTTGATCGGCGGCACACGGAGCATTTATCCACTCGGCTCAGAGTTCAGACAGCAGCGCAGTGCGAGCTCACTAGAGCAGATGTGTTACTCGCTGATGAGTCTCAGTCACACGACACTAAACAGAGCTGTGAGATCCAGAGTGAAGCGCCTGAGTTCAGCGAAGAACACAAACGATTCGTGATTTAAACTAAAGATGAAACTGCGCTGACAAACAGCAGAAACTGTATTTAGACTACTGTTTTTCATACAAATATCTAGAAACATATATACATTTTTACCATGGTATTGAGGTGCTATATGTGTGGTTTTGACTGTGGGTGTCATGATCTAAATGTCTGCAATTATGGAAGACCAATGGTTAATTAATAAAATATAAATCAGAATAATTAAATTTCAATATATAAAAATTAGGTTGTTAATTTTTACAGATGTTACGGTTTTTGATAATTACAATAAATGTATATCTGCATCCTAACTCAAGCAACTGTCAAATGTGCATTTCTAAGAGACAACATTTTTTTTGAATGAAAATCTTTTCATTTATTTAGATGGATTTTATTTATTATGTTGTTGTTATATATGCTAATGCTTTGGCAACATTGTGTTACACAGTCATGCTAATAAAGCTTAACTTAATTGAATTGAAAATTGAGAGAGAGAGCGAGGTCACTTAGCTACAAGTCGCATTTTATTACATTCAGAAATACCGGTAGCCTAAACAAAGCAAAATGTTTACAAACATTATAAACAATATAAACATAGTTAGGCTATATGTTATTTTAGCTCCCTCACAATTTAATAATAATGGTACTCAGAACAGAAGCTATAAATGACAAGCCAAAACTAAATAATTTAAAGCAAAACTGAAACAAAAACCGCTGTTGGGCTCACGAAGCTCTCTCATTCGGCACGAATCCAAATGTTTCCATATTTGTGACGTATTTGGATGCCAAACTATGATTTATTATGTAGGCTAAACCAGGTTTTGTACTTCATTTTGATCGCTTGAATTTTTGCCTTATAAAGTGGGAACAGCTTTGTCTGTCTCCATCATTGGTGTTCATATGAGCATGTGTGTGTTTGATTACCTGCGGCTGCGCTGCGGCGGCTCTGCCAGTTTAACGGCTGCAGACGGGACGGTGAGACTCTGGGGAGAGGCAGTCACAGGTCGGGTCACAGCACTCACAGCCTGCAGCAAACACACACACAGTGCTAACTTCAACACACACACGAGCACACGGCCGATTCCCAATGAGGCGAGAGACAGGAATGTGACGGGGAGGACAGACGAAGACAGGAAGATGAGTCTCAGCAGCAGCACACGCCACAGACAGCAGCGGGACGACGGCAGCAAGCAGGGGCAAGCGGCAGCACAATGAGAACGGCATGAGAAGAGCAAGCGTGCGATTGGAGGATGATGGGAGGAGGCGGGCAGAGGCGGGTACACAGCTGACCTGGGGGAGGGGTTTCATCACAGGGCTGCACGAGGAGGCGTGGCCTGCTCTCCTGGGGCTATATGGGCGCTCGGGGGCGTGGCTTCTGCCCTGGCACGAGTGAGACGCCCGCCGCAGGCGACGGGGCGAGCGCGGCTTCTCCACGGGCAGGAAGACCGAAGAGGAGGAGGCGGCAGGAAGCCGGCGCTCCTCTTCCTCCTCTGGGCCGTCGGGAGAGAAGGACAGCATGATGCGGTGGCCCAGCACGTCTTCGTTCTCCATGCGCTTGCGGGCGCGCTCTGCTGCCTCGGCGCTGGAGAACCGCAGCACGCCGCAGCCGCCCGACACGCCCAACACCTTCCCTCCACAGTTAGTGGAGAGCCGCTGCAGCCGGTTGGCCACCGCTTTGGCGTCGCGGTGCGTGGGGAGGTGGTGCACAAACAGAAGGCTGAAACTGGGCTGAGGAGCAGACACACAAACAGCACTCTGGGAGATCTGAGATGGTGCTGGAGTTCAGCGTCTAGCCCGCCACTGACAGCTTTAAATGACGGGTTTTTACTCTCTATGAACTCCATTAAAATCTCAGAGCGTGGAGTCAGACAGTGAACGGCTTTACGATCACATGATTACAACAGCGGCGTCCAAACACACTGTTCTGTCTCCAAACAGAAAAACCAGCCAGCTGTTCTCTGCATTCATCAAATCAGTGTTCACATGTAGGAAAAGCAGTCAGGAACAGAGGGAGTGAGGTGTGGCGGCTGACCTGAGATTTGACGACCATCCCGGGAGGCAGGTCCGAGACGAACTCCTCGAAAGCGGCGCGCAGGTGCGCATGCTGCAGCAGGGCAGACGAGGCCTGGCTCTTGTGGACCAGAATCACCTGGAACCTGTGGCGATGCCGCAGGTCACTCAGCTCACTGGCGAAGTTCACGTCCGCTGCGTGAAGGACAGAGAACGCTGCCATTAGAACGTGTGGATTCAGTTTCGTTTTTTACATGAGGCCAGCTTACAGTTTTGTAACTAGTCTGTGTTTGAATCAGTCATAATATTGTCTCTAACCCGTATTAGATAGATGGGCCACTGCTGCTGTTGTGTCTAGTCTATGTGAAACCAGTTTATCACTGTGTGTTTGCTGTCGGTTCAGTCTAGTTTTGACAGGAGCAGCTTAAGCTTTCACACTTTTCCACATATGATGTAAGTTCTTCTGCTGTTCAGGAATAAGTGTCTGTCCCGCTTCCTCCTCATGCCCTCACCGTTACTGAACGGATCACGTTTCTGATGCCGTCTGAATGAGGACGCTCATCTGTGTGACATCAGAAGTTCAGAAGAAGAACCTTCTGCAGTTTAGTTTCAATAAATGTTTAGTTTTGCTGGAGGAAGTTGAGCTGATTTATTTGATCCATTATATCAAGCACTTTCATCCAAAGAGGACAAAGGACAATCTGATTTGTCATTTAAGCCCATCGAATATTTTGAGCCCAGAGTTTTAAGTTTGCAGACACGTACATGAAACAACGATGACTGTGGCAGGAGCGGCGTGTGTTTCTGCGAATCGCCGGAGGCTCTGACGCAGTTTGTCATCTGCTGCATTTTTGGCGGTGGCGTTAATGTGGGCGACGGTCACCTGAGCGGGAACAGAGCAAGCCATGAAGAAACACGCTCTCTCCTGAAGAGACAGAAGCACGTGGAGCATCAATCACGTGGCAGTGACACGAACGTAACGCTGGCGCGCACCTGGCAGTTGTTGAGCTCCTGAATAACGGCTTTGTTCTCTTTGTTGATGTCACACACGCAGATGAACTCGGCTTCGCGGTGTCCCTGGAAGAAGCGCTCTCGGAGCCTCTGCACCACGGTCGCCGCCGAGCGGCCGCTGGGAACCGCACAGTTCTCGATGTCCCAGAACACCCCGATGGGCGGCAGCGTCTCCTGCGTGCCAGTCTCCGGAGGACCTGCAGACACAAAGCGGCACTCGTCCAATTCCTGCAGAAAACACACCACAGGCACGACTTACAGCTCGCTAGTCAACATGTGTGTACGGACCGTATTTCTGTGTGGTTTTGCTGAGATGGACGCCCAGCAGACCGTCGGACGATGCGCCCGTCACGCCGCAGCCGTTGCACACAGGGACAGGAGGGGGAATGTTCGGCCAAACCTTCTCCGAGTCAACATGTAAACTCTGAAAGCAGAAGAGACTGATGTTAGCTTTCACTGCAGAATCCACGCCAGAGCCCTACCACAGAGTTTTACCACATTTCTGCCTCGCCCTCTGTCAGTCGAGGCCGTGCTTTACTGAGGAATGAAGGATGTGCTCCCAAAAACACAAGACAACTTGAGCAGCGGTGCGATCCACCAACCTTTCTCCAGCACTCCTGCAAACAGTGAACGCCCTTCAGGCACGGCGGCGTGCGCCCGACACTCAGGTGCAGAGGGTTAGAGCAGAGGTGAGAGGGTGAGGACGGGTCACCGTGAGGGAAAGGGTGCTGCTGCACTCTGCGGCAGTGACAGACGCCCGGCGGGGCCGGCTTACACAGAGCGCAGGCGTGCAGCGGCCTCAGACTGGCGCAGCAGCTCGCTCCGGAGCCACTCTGAGCCACAGACGAGGGGTGAGGGGGGGTGCGGGTGTTTGTCTGAGAGAGACACAGAGGAAAGCCTCCACCGGCCTCACTAAAACTCTGCTGCAGGTGTATGCTGGCCTCGCAGCGGGAACACACGCTTACGCTGAGGCTGCCTGGCTGAGAGCCGGTGCTGTGGAGAGGAGGAGGAGGAGGAGGAGGAGGAGGAGGAGGGACGTCCTTCAGCTCCAGGACCGGCTTACGGACCTCCATGGAGTCGCTCTGGAGAAACACAGAAACACAGAGGCCTTGAGAACACGCTCCATGAGACATGAAACACCACAATGGGACAGAAATGTGCTCGTAAATCACTTTCGCGCTGCACCAACACCAACACAGCAGCAGGTCTAAACCCTCAGGAGCTCTGACCTCCGATCGGCGCAAACGGACTAAGTTAGAAGAACACCAGCTAAGCCGTTCAAATGACGGAAACACACGCAACGGGCCGCCAATCAGTCAAATTAAAGCTAATGACGCTCACATGAGACTCCTATGATTGGATTCGTTCACACGCTGCTGTTTTCTCCAGTTTTTCTGTCAGTGTTTGTTTTTGTTCGCGCGTCTGCCGTGTTCCGCGCGCTGCCCGTCAGTCGCTGTTTACGGTTTCGTGGAAACATTATCAGACACGAGATACTCATTTGTAACGAATAAAACTGACAATTTAAATGCATTTAATGAGAAATTTTGAATTAAACGCAGCTCACCTTCTCGCGGCGGCCGCAGTACCTCCAGGCGTCTCCCTGGTTACCAGACTTCCGACAGATCTGTGCCGTAAACCAACGCGGCTGTCGTAAAATGAGCATCGTTTCCACCAGAGCGGAAATGGTTTGCAGCGATTTTTTTTCCTGTATATTAAAACAAAATGTGTCTAAAAATGTTTCGTTCTCACATTTTGATCGAGGCGAGTAATTTACTGTGACAGATAGGAATATATGTCGTGTGACGTGCAAAACTGTTCCGTTCAGCATTAACCAATTCTTACTCGATTCATCTCACATGATTGTTTAATGATCTAATGAGGCAGACTATAGTGGAAACGTCAAATGTCACAGAAGGCCAATAAACTGAATGTTCATGTGTGCGGCTGTAATTAGAGGTGAAGTGTTTATTAAGGATGATGACACACACACACGAAGAAAACATTAATGCACATGAAGAACCCAAACAATTATAGTTCAATCCTCCACATTACTGTAAAAAGCCTTTGTGATGACATTAAAGCCTTCTAAACTGAACACACAAGCTACAGATGGTTAAATACACACACATATATAAGGTAAAAATAGAAGACAATTCAAAGCAATAATAAATGTAAAGAGCTCATTTTAAAAAGGTAAATCTAATGTGATTTATGAGCTCAGTTTACTATATTAATCATCTGGTGCTCAAAAACTGATCACAAACAGCTGCTGAATTACAGCACATCTATACTTTATAACTTTTCATGACAGGTGAGTGTTACGGTTAAACATTACCGTGTTATTTGGTGTTTCACATACATGATTTCCAGCAGCTAGTAAAACACAGCCACCATCGAGAGACAAACCAAACGCTCACATCGAAACGAGGATTCAGAAACACTTCAGTGGCGTCAAATCATGTTGACAGTAAAACAGTTCAGGTTTATATTTAAAAACAACAAAAAAGACAGTTTGAGAAGGATGCCTTAAATACAGGGAATGTGAGCATACACACTAATAATATCCTCCTGTACAATTTAGTTCTAATGAGTCACTGTACTATATATTTCTGAACATACAGAGTGAGATGAAGGAAGCCCGTGACCATCAGTCAGTCGGTGAAATCAGAGCGACAGCTGGAGCTTTGGAGCGTGCAGAGGTAGCGCTTCATACAACAGGTGCACACATTTATACCAACGCACAGCATATGCTGAATTCTAACAGGAGATAAAGAGAAAGTCAGTGATCAGCTGTCCTCTATAGTCTTACAGGTTCAGTAAGGTCAACCGTCTGCCGCTCGCATGCGTTCATACAGGAAGGCCATCACGTCATCTCGAGCGAAGGCCAAACCTCACGCTGGCTCGCCGCTGTGGATCCTCTGGTGCCGCTTCAGTTCTCCCGAGCGGAAGAAGTTCTTGCCGCACTGCGTGCAGTGGAAGGGCCTCTCGCCCGTGTGGATGCTCTGGTGGCCCTTGAGCCGCTCCAGCCGGGAGAAGCTCTTGTCGCACTGGTTGCAGTGGTAGGGCTTCTCTCCGGTGTGGATCCTCCGGTGCTCCTTCAGGTGTCCCGACTCGGAGAAGCTCTTCCCGCACTGGAAGCACTGGTAGGGCCGCTCGCCCGTGTGCGTTCTGTGGTGCCGCTTCAGGTCGCCCGATCTGAAGAAGCTCTTCTCGCAGAGCGTGCAGCGGTGGGGCCGCTCTCCGGTGTGGATGCGCTGGTGGCCCCGCAGGTGTCCGGAGTCGGAGAAGGTCTTGTCGCACTGGTTGCAGTGGTAGGGCCGCTCGCCGCTGTGGATCCGCTGGTGCCGCTTGAGGTCTCCGGAGCGGTAGAAGCACTTGGAGCACTGCGGACACTGGTAGGGCCGCTCGCCCGTGTGCATCCTCTCGTGCTGCTTGAGGTGGCCCGAGTCGGAGAAGTTCTTGCCGCACTGCAGGCAGTGGTAGGGCCGCTCGCCCGTGTGGATGCGCTCGTGTCTCTTCAGGTCCCCAGACGTGGGGAAGTTCTTGCCGCACTGGAAGCAGGGGAAGGGCCGCTCTCCGCTGTGGATGCGCTGGTGCCGCTTGATGTCGTTGATCCGGAAGTACTTGCCGCAGTCCTGGCAGTGGTACGGCCGGTCCGCCGAGGGACGACTGTGGGTCTGGGCCGGATCTGAGAGAGACAGGCTTTTAGGGTTCGATCCGCTGCAACAAGCCGTGAGACACTCTCCGGTCTGCTGCTGCAGGTGCTGAGCTGTCAGGAGAGAACGAGATGAGTACACACACAATTAACCGCAGTCCCTTCCAGTTTTAGACACGCATGTTAGAAACACATAAAAGACATTTCAGTGTCAAAATATCATATTCATTCCCATGTTAAAGGGTTAGTTCACCCAAAAATGAAAACTAGGCTGTGTTTTACTCACCCCCGAGGCATCGTAGGTGTATATGACTTTCTTCTTTCAGACGAATCCAGTCGGAGTTATATTAAACATTGTCCTGGCTATTCCAAGCTCTATCATTGCAGTCAGCGGTGTTGCAGTGCTTGAAGCAGTTGAAGCAGCAGTTCCGGGGGAATGACGTATGAGGTCCGCGCTGCGCTGCACAGGGTTAGGGTTAGTTAGTCAGTTGGTTAGTCAGGGTTACGTCATCCTCCCAGAGCTGCTTCTGTGTACAACACTGAGCGCAAGCTACATTAAAGTGATTATTATGTTTTGAATATGGATATTTTTCTTACAAAAACGCATCGATTTGTCACGGTTCACACAAAAGTCATATACACCTAGGATGCCTCGGGGGTGAGTAAAACACAGCCTAATTTGCATTTTTGGGTGAACTAACCCTTTAACCAGCATCAGTGATGATAAAATGTTTGCTCAATTAGTGAGTAGCTGAATAAATGCACTGGTGGACAATAATGGGCGAGATGATTTAAGCAGATTAGTAGCACGTTTTATAGATATATTTAAAGGGACAGTTCACCCAATCAACAGTAGACCTCACTGACTTTCATCTCATCTCTAACCAGCAATCTCATCTCTAAATGACAACAATTCGTCCTGCGTCTATTAAACCTTTGAAAAAGCCCTACTGGAACATTTTCTTTAAATTTAGTTTGGATATAAACATTGATCTCAATGATAGCGATCAAAATAGAACAAATCACCTTCTGAAAGTAATTAGTGCTTCAAATAATGTTTGTGTCATGATCGAATCATTCATTCAAACCCATTTTTCACAATTTTAATATTAAAAATTGGTTTATTAAATCTAACATATTTTAAATATATATTATATATTCACATTTTTCATAATTAATTCAAATTAATCAAACACTTTTAAATGCAGCAATTAATATTTTGTCACAGCCTCTAGTAAATTACACATTATTTTGTTTAGTGTGTGTGTGTGAGTGTGTGAGTGAGTGAGAAAGAGAGAGAGTGTGTGAGTGAGTGAGTGAGAGAGAGAGTGTGTGTGTGTGTGAGTGAGTGAGAGAGTGAGAAAGAGAGAGAGTGTGTGTGTGTGTGAGTGAGTGAGAGAGTGAGAAAGAGAGAGAGTGTGTGTGTGTGTGAGTGAGTGAGAGAGTGAGAAAGAGAGAGAGTGTGTGTGTGTGTGTGAGTGAGTGAGTGAGTGAGTGAGTGA